TTGTGCTGAGTCAGCGAGTTGTTTTCGCGTTTGGAGTTTAGGGTTTAGGGTTTAAGGTTTAGGCTTTAGGGTTTAGGGTTTAAGGTTTAGGCTTTAGGGTTTAGGGTTTAAGATTTAGGGGTTAGGGTTTAGGGTTTAGGCTTAGACGCGCAGCATATTTATTTAGTTTGTTTATTTAGCTGCCTGTACACCACGAAAAACAAATAAAATACGACAAACAAATAAAACAAGCAAAACAAGCAAAACAAAATGAATAAAATAAACAAAGTAAACAAAATAAATAAATAAATAAAATTAAATAAATAAAATAAAATTAAGTAAATAAATAAAATAAAACAAATAAAATAAATAAAATAAAATACATAAATAAAATAAAACAAACCAAACACAAAATAAATAAAATAAATAAAACAAACAAAACAAACAAAACGAATAAAATAAATAAAATAAAGCAAAATAAATAAAACAAACAAAATAAACAAAATAAATAAAACAAACGAAATAAATAAAATAAACAAAACAAACAAAATAAACAAAACAAACAAAACAAACAAAACAAACAAAACAGACAAAATAAATAAAATAATAAAATAAATAAACATAAAATATTTTTTTTCAGGCTGCTTCGAGAGAGTTTGAAGAAATGGTGGAGGGTTTAGCGATGCCTCTAAGCGATAAAAATTCTCTTGCTTGGGTTTCAGACGACAAAGAAGAGGATAAAACAAAACAAATAAATAAATATAATAAATATAATAATAAACATTATAATAATAATAATAAACAATCAAACAAACGAGCAGATAAAGATGAAGAAGAAGAAGAAGAAGAAGAAAGCTTCCTCTCACAAGCGCTACAAGATGTATTATCACATTTACACTAAACCCTAAACCCTAAACCCTAAACCCTAAACCCTAAACCTTAAACCCTAAACCCTAAACCCATTTAAAGAATAACAGCAGGATGCGTGCTGACAACGGAGGAGACACAACAAACAAACAAACTTTAAAAAAATAAATATTATTTCACAAACAACAAATAAAATAAATATTTTATATAAAACAAAAAACAAAACAAATAAAAACAAACAAACAAATTAAACATTTTATATAAAACAAACAAACAAAATAAATATTTTTGTGTGCAAATAACAGCGGCAGTCATCCACATATAAAAAATATATATAAAGATATTAAAATATATACTTTTATATTGTATAAGAAGTCTATATACATATATAATATATATATGTATACATATATATATGCATATAAATATAAATATATTTATATATATATATATATATATTTATGCTTATATCTATGCTTATATATCTATGTATTTACTTATGTATGTAGATATATAGATGTGTAGATGTATGTCACCCTAATTATATGTATATATACATATATATATATATATTATATATGTATACATACATATATATATAGAAGCATATATATATATATATGTATACATATATATAAATATACATATATATATATACATACATACATATATATATATATATATATATA